GGCCACTCGTATGATCAAGGGACAGCAGGGTAGGTCCTATGAGGAAAGGTTGCGGGACCTGAACCTGTTCAGCCTTCAAAAGAGAAGGCTGAGGGGGGATCTTGTGGCCTGTTATAAACTGGTTAGGGGGGATCAGCAGGCGCTGGGGGAGTCCCTGTTCCCCTGAGCGCCGCAAGGAGTGACCAGGAACAACGGTCACAAGCTGGCGGAGGGAAGGTTTAAGCTGGACATCAGGAGGCGCTACTTCACGGTCAGGGCGGCTAGGGTCTGGAACCAGCTTCCAAGTGAGGTGGTGCAGGCTCCCACCCTGCGGGTTTTTAAGAGGAGGTTGGATGACCACCTTACTGGGGTCGTTTGACCCCTGTGCTCTTCCTGCCATGGCAGGGGGTCGGACTAGATGATCTGCTCAGGTCCCTTCCGACCCTAGAAACTATGAAACTATGGACCTGTGCCTTGCCTTTCAGTTTTCAGATACACCCATAAAAAGTGCTATTGAATTTAAACAGCAAGGTTTCCTTTGCATTGGAATAAATAATTGCAAGGTGCACTGCACAGAGGTTGAATGAGGTCTTGGATGACAAAAAAAAAGGCAAATATAGTGCCTCTTTTTAAAAAAGGGAAGAAGGAGAATCCAGGGAATTACAGACCAATCAGTCTGACCTTGCTACCTGGAAAGACTATGGATCAGGCCATTAAGGAATCGGTCACTAAACAATTAGAAAATAACAAGGTGATGAAGAATGGCCAGCTTGGATTTGTCAAGACCAAGTCATGCTTGGTCAAGCTTCTACAACAAGGTGATGGGCTTTGTACGTGGGGGGAGAGCAGTGGATATGATTATGCCTTGCCTTGAGAAGGCTTTTGCCCTTGTCTTCTATGACATCCTTGGCAGTAAGCTATGCAAATACAGTCTAGATGAAACTGCTGCAAGATCGATACATAACTGATTGGATCATTAATGAAGAGCAGTTGTTGGTGGCTCAATGTCCAATGGGGAAGAGGTACTTAATGGGGTTCCCCAGGGGTCTGTTCTGGGTCTAGTAGTGCTTAATATCTTCACTAATGATTTGGAACATGGGATTTACCTGCGGCAAGTTTAAAGGTGTTTATTATAGTTTCATAGTTTCATAGTAGCTAGGGTCAGGAGGGACATGAACAGATCATGTAGCCTGACCCCCTGCCACAGGCAGGAATGAATGCTGGG